CCATCAAATCACAATACAACATATGTAGTTTATTTTGGCACAAGCACAAATCCAAAAAGGAGAAATTCTAGTATTTAAACCTGATTTTTATTTTAAGGCATTTTGTTGTATGTGCAAACGTCATTAAGTCGATATGTTCTTATTAGTTTGACTTATTTGTGACATTTCTGCTTTATCCTGAAGGTGTTGAGTTTGAAAAATTCTCCTCTGATATAGTTCAACTTTATCCCCATCATCTTTTTTTCAATTTCATATTATATTTGTGGGAAGTCATTACAATTTTGAAAGCTGAATACTTTCAACATCCCACAAACGTAACAAATCCCTGCCAATGTAGTAGCTATTACGTTTGCAGGAAATTACGTATTACGTTTGTAGTAGGCAACTGCTATTACATTTTTATTTTGTGGATTATTTCATTTAAAGTTGCATATTTGCAAGATGTTTGTGGGTGTTAGAGGCTCCTGTTATTGAAAATTATAATAATTTATAAACCCATTGCAATGAGTATTCAGACACTGAGCAGAGTACAGTGTAGTTAGTACCAGTAGTAGTACTTTTTATATACAGTCCATACTAGTTACTGTGGTATCAGTGCAGCTCGCTGTAGCTGCGTCACAGAGTGGGCGGTCTTTCCTGAGCGGGGCAGCCAATCGGTGTGCTCGTTTACACCGCAGCCCGGAAGAAGGAAGCGGAGGGAGAAAAGAGCGCCTGGAATCAAAAGTTGGAGACGTTACCTGGAGGTGAGCAGCGTCAACACACGACACAGGAACCACACGGAGACTTCTCGTGTAAATACAAACCCGTTCTCACTCTTACTAACCTGCGCTGCTGGGAAACATCACGATCGTTTCACCTCTTCACGCGACGTCTCCTTTTACCGTCTTTTCACAATGACAGATCGCAGAGAGACTGTCACTCTGACTAAAACAACACCGTCCCATGTGTTCTTGTATTCGCTTAAACAATATTGAACTGAACTTAAGAGTACTGTTATTTACTCAAGGCAACAAAATGCCTTAAGATGAAACTTAAGCAGATCCTGGAACTTCTCATCTGAGTGTTATAGGAGATGTAGATATGTGCAGCTTTGGGTTTTTTTTGACTTCCTGCTTTGCACTGAGCTCCAATTAATTCGACTGGAACTCCGGACAGAAGACCCCCACTTGATTCGTCTACACCAGGCTCATCAAACTGCGTGTTGCCATCAGCTGAACATCAGAATACACTGACAACTGTTGTTTGTCATCATTGCAAGAAGATGTCTCTTAGTTTGCCACTGCACAGGCAGCAGGAGCAATCACAGTGAACTGCAATAGCACCAAGTAAAGTGCATACAACCTCTACTAAGGCTGAGGATCCGCAATTGTATCCACTAATTAAATCAACCCACTAAAATAGATTTATTTTATTCTATTCCCTGAAGAATTAACAAAAATGTAAATGACTTACTTGAGCGATTTCGAAAAAACTGGACCTGCTATTTAATCAGCAACCGCACCAACATGTCTTGGGTTCTGCCCAGGCCCCTTTCCACCGAGTTTGATGGATTCTGTTAAGTAACTCTGCTTGCTTGTGTCTCTGCAGTGTCCTCCTCCTCGTCACCGGCACCATGAGTTGCCTAAATGGTCAACGCGGCACCATCCAGGAGCAGAGGGACCGCTGGGAGAGAAAACGCAGCCGAACAGCCAAAGAGTTGGTGAAGACGGAACAATTTTACTGCGAACAGTTGAAGCTGGTCACCACTGTACGTAATGTGGCAGTCATGAGCTATAGTTCTGAGGTGTTACACACTGTCTGAACCAAAGACCTCGAGTATTAGCATCAGAAACCTTATACTGATGTATACTTTACAATAACTTGTATATTTGTATGTATATACCACTTAGTGTTAGCTCTTTACTTGTATTAGTGTACTTTCTAATTCTCGTGGTACCCTTCTCCATAACCACGGATGACCGTCAAACCAGGGGGAATTAGTGAAATAATATTTTAGTGTAGCATTTAAAAGGTTTTATGATTTTTCAAATTCTATTAGGATTAATTTTCTGTGTCCCTCCTTTTCTTGGCGTTCAATCTTTAGTGCATAATGACCTATTTTGCTCCAATCAGACCATGAAAACTATTTATTTTTGTTTGTGTTTTTCTGTTAAATCTCTAGATGCACACCAATATATATTAAGTAATGGTCTGCCTTCCATGGAAACTATTTTAGAAATGTTCTGATGAATACAGACCAGGTAGAGTTAACAAATCCACTCAGTCTTATAGGTGCAGTGGGGTTATCTAATCAGTCTTCT